TTATCCAAGATTCAAGCGCTACCCCGGTCTGTCACTCGATTAATTTCTTTCTTCTTTCCTGAACGAATTTTCGATGATATTGCAGGCGTAAGTTGATCGACGGTGCACGAGGCATTTTGCAGGGCACTTCCTCGTTGTTGTTGTGCTTCGACGAGAGTGAAGTGCGGAAGATCATCAAGGAGTGCAAAAAGGTTTTGGACTACTTGGCTGTGGCTGGAGTTATAGAAGACATGGAGGACCTGGTGGAGTTCGTGAAAGGCATTTCTCCTTGCCTGACAAAGGTGCGTGCAGAATGGAAATAATACCACGCTTTCGCTTCGTGCCCCGAGGAAAGAAGAGTATCCCTCGAGACAGAAAAAAAATAGACAAAATTATTCATGGTTTGCATTGCACGAAAGGTCGGGGAAAATGCCGACGAAGATCGTCGCTGACATTACCGGGAATGATGATGGTTCTTGAAGTATCGCGATCCGCGAAACTGGCCGTAAACGTGAAGCCCCTCGAGCACTTACTTACAGCAATAGGAAAAGCACTTTCCAAGTCGCTAAGCGAACTCTAAGCCGATACGGACCTTGCACATCACTTGGCGAAGAAGACTTTATACTGTTCTCAGTAGAAATTCTTTTTTTTATAGCATAGCTCAATTCTAAATATGAGATCACTCCGCTGCGACCTTCTTACTCTTGACTAGAAAAAGGGTTCTCCGATGGTAGTACGCAATACCATTGCTGAAGAAAGAGGGGCATAGAATATTGCATGTGAGACGCATGAGATATGATGGGCATGAATGGTGGGCAAAATTACTCGCTTTATGTAAGATTTAAATTTTACGTGCATACTTCGGGAAAAAATGTGAATAGGGTGAGAACTACAGTGCTCCGTCATGAGTTTCAGTTGAGGATATTTTTTCATAAATGCCTTAGCATTCGGAAATGAGAAGCTCTCAGCACCAAGTTTGGAGATGTAAAAACGAGCCCTTTTTCTTTCAACGTCAGGTGCCGTCCTCAATTTCGTGGGTAAATATGCTGAAATAATCTTCAAGTCTGGGAAATATTACGGAATGACTAATAGTGAATTAAGAAGCACGGTTTCGTATCGTCGAATTAATTGTGAGTAGGGTGTGAACTTCTGGGTCATGACTCATCAGTTTCAGTTGAAGATATTTTCTTCAGAAATATCTTGACGTTCGGAGATGAAAAGCTCTCAGCCAGCTTGGAGAATTAATAACGAGCTCTTTTTCTCTCCACTTCACGCGGGGTTCTCGATTTCTTGAGTGAATGTATTGAATGACTTTTAAATCAGCAAACAATTAATACTGAATGACTAGGAGGTGATTTGGAAGCCCGATTTTATCGTCTAACTATAAATACATTTAACGAAATGATCCGCTGTCCTTCATCGTCTTCTTTTTGGGCTGTTTCTCGATTCTCTACCAGGTCCAATTTTCCAAGTACTGCAATGTCTCCAATAACGTCAAATTTAATGAAAAATTCAAGGATTGCCTGAACTGATTTAATCTTACGTTGGAGCTGAGTATTTTTTCTTGGTAGAATATCGGGCCCTTCATTCATTCGTTATCCTCGTGTCACGCTGTCGTCGAGTACTTCTCAATTTTTTTTTTTTTTCAAACTTCATTCGTTCCCGGGGATTCTAATGGAGTACAGTACTGTATTTCGTATGAATTCTTAACATTTTCAAAGAATAAGGTGACCTTGTGCAGATTTCATGTACCCATGCCCGATGATACGGAAAATGTCCGATCTCCGCGTCCAATCGAATTTTTCTTCTTTTCGACTCATTAATTTTCGCGCACAGGTGAGGTGATTGGATCATTCCCGAGGATTTTATAGTCAATATGTCTAATTTCTGCCTAGGCGATTTTATTATCAAGGATTGCAAGTAACATCGAGAGATCAGCTGGGGAAATTTCGAATTGAAAAAGGGGGTTGGGGGATTCTAAAATCATTTGTGGAGTAGGGTATATGAATGCTTGCATCGAGAGAGTGGGAGTAATTTCTTCGCACTGGTCGAGAAAAAGTTTTGGAGAAAGAAATCAAATTACTTTTGGCATTTTTGAAAACATTAGGAAATCTATTTTCCGAACTTTTTACATAAATCAGACACGGTCGTAATTCAATTCTTCATCAAGACTAATTATTCTGTGAGTCACGGATTGCATTAATACAGTACAGTACTGTACTTGGATTGAGAAAATTGAGAAATGTCTTCTTTTTTTGTCGAGAAAAAGTTTTGGAGAAAGAAAACGAATAACTTGTGGCTTTTTTAAACAATGATTCTTCCTACTTCGCGCAGAAATCAGGCGCTTCCGTGATTCCATTTTTCATCATTCATGAAGTTTTGGGTTATTGCAGAAGACTAATTATTCCGTGAGTCAGAGAGTCGCTTCAGTCGGCTACATTTTGCGCGTGAAATGAGCGCGTAGACTAAACGCGAGCTT